GGTGAGGGTGAGAGTGAGAGAGAGAGAGAGAGAGAGAGAGAGAGAGAGGACGAAGAAAGGGATTAGGGTTTCTGTAAGATGAGAGAGAATGAGAGACGAGAGAACGAGAGAGAGAACGCGAGTTTAAGGTGAGAGTGAGAGAGAGAGAGAGAGAGAGAGAGAGAGAGAGAGAGGACGAAGAAAGGGATTAGGGTTTCTGTAAGATGAGAGAGAATGAGAGACGAGAGAACGAGAGAGAGAACGCGAGTTTAAGGCGGGCGGGGTTAAGGCGGGCGCGATGCCCGCCCATTAAGTGCCTGTTTAATCTCTTTTCTATAGATACCCGCCCATTTAGACCCATTTAACTAAATGGGTGGGCTTTGGGCGGGTCAAAAGATGGGCGGGCTAGGTGGGTAAATGGGCATGGACACATATTGCCTTCCCTAGTATCAACATACCTTTGCTGAATTCAAAACGGATGATTTCATGAGCTATAACACGTGATTATTGACCCTTCTCGTGCATTTGGGCCCGACGGCGAATAGTTAGGCGGAGTTCAAATATCGTGATTTCATGGGTTATAACCCATGATTTTCTGACCGTTTCAGTCTGTTTCGACCTGGGCACGATTTCATGGGTTATAACCTGTTGTTTGAATTGCACGATTTCATGATCAATAGGCAACAATTTTTGCACAATGTTGACAGTTTCGTCCGATGACAAATGACTCGGTAGAGTCAAATTTCACGTTTCCGTGAGCTACCTACGAAATTTGTCCATTTACGCCCCTTTTCGGCCTGGTGAAAACAATTAGGCGGTGTGCATATTTCATAATTTGAAATTTGTCCATTTACGCCCCTTTTCGGCCTGGTGAAAACAATTAGGCGGTGTGCATATTTCATAATTTCGTGACCTATTTTGTCAGTTTCGGTCCGTTTCGACCCGGTGCCAGAAATCTTTGTCGAATTTAAAACCAACGATTTCATGAGCTATAACTCATGAATTTTAACCATTTTATTCTATTTCGGCTGGGTGTTGGAAATGTCAAAACTGATGATTTCATGAGCTATATTCCGTGTAATTTCTGACCATTTTCGTCTATTCGACGTACCGTCTCAAAATATCTCTGTAGAATTCAAAACAAATGATTTCATGATCTATAACACGTGATTATTGAAACTCTTCTCGTGTGTTTGGGTCCGACAGCAAATAATTAGGTAGAGTTCAAATATTGCAATTTCGTGGGTTATAACCCATGGTTTTCGATTGCTTCGGTCCGTTTTGACCCTGGTGCGATTTCATTGGTTATGACCCATTGTTCGAATTTCACGAGTTCATGAGCTATAGGCAACGATTTTTGCCCAACTTTGATGGTTTCGTCCGATGGCAAATGACTCGGTGGAGTCAAATTTCACGATTTTTTGAGCTATAACCCGTGGAATTTATCCATTTACGCCTCGGTGGAGTCAAATTTCACGATTTTTTGAGCTATAACCCGTGGAATTTATCCATTTACGCCCCTTTTTGGCCTGGAGCAGACAATTAAGCGGAGTGCATATTTTGTGATTTCGTGAGCTATAACCCATGATTTTTCACTCAATTTGTCAGATTCGATCCGTTTTGACCTTGCGCCAGAAATATTTGCAGAATTCAAAACGGGCAATTTCATGAGCTGTAACAAATGAATTCTGACCATTTTCTTCTGTTTCAGCCGGGTGTCAGAAATGTTAAAACTGATGATTTCATGAGCTATTCTCCATACGACTTTTGACCATTTTGGTTAGTTCGACGTCATGTATCAAAATATTTTTGCCGAATTTAATACCGATGATTTCTTGAGCTATAACATGTGCGTATTGACCCTTCTCGTGCGTTTGGGCCCGACGGCGAATAATTAGGCGGAGTTCAAATTTTGTGATTTCATGGGTTATAACCCATGGTTTTCTGACCATTTCGGTCTGTTTCGACCCAGGCACGATTTCATGAGTTATAACCCATTGTTCGAATTTTGCGATTTCATGATCAATAGGCAAAGATTTTTGTGTAACGTTGACGGTTTCGTCCGACGACAAATGACTCGGTAGAGTCAAATTTCACGATTTCGTGAGCTACACACGAAATTTGTCCATTTACACCCATTTTCGGCCTGGTGAAGACAATTAGGCGGTGTGCATATTTCACAATTTCGTGAACTATTTTGTCAGTTTCGGTCCGTTTCGACCGGGTGGCAGAAATCTTTTTCGAATTTAAAACCGACGATTTCATGAGCTGTAACTCATGAATTTTGACCATTTTCTTCTGTTTCGGCTGGGTGTTGGAAATGTCAAAACCGACAATTTCATGAGCTATTACCCGTACAATTTCTGACCATTTTGGTTTATTCAACGCCCTGTGTCAAAATATATTTCTCGAATTCAAAACAGTTGATTTCATGAGCTAACACGTGATTATTGAAACCCTTTTCGTGCGTTTGGGTCCTGCAGCAAATAATTTGGCCGCGTTCAAATATCACGATTTCATGGGTTATAACCTGTGTTTTTTTATCGCTTTGTTCCGTTTCGACCCGGGCACGATTTTATGGTTTATAACCCATTTTTCCAATTTCACGATTTTAGGCTATAACCAACAAAATTAGTCCATTTACGCCCCTTTTCGGTCCGGTGCAGACAATTAAGCATAGTGCATATTTCACAAATTCAGAAGCTATAACCCATGATTTTTCATTCACTTTGTCAGTTTCGGTTTGTTTTGACCCGACGCTAGAAATATTTGTCGAATTCAAAACGGACAATTTCATGAGCTGCAACCTATTAATTTTGACCATTTTCCTCTATTTCGGCCGGATGTCAGAAATGTCAAAACCGATGATTTCATGAGCTATAGTCCGTATTATTTCTGACAATTTTGATCAGTTCGACGCCCCGTATAAAAATATCTTTGCTGAATTTAAAACCGATGATTTTATGAGCTATAACATGTGATTGCTAACTCTTCTCGTGCGTTTGGGCTCGGCGGCAAATAATTAGGCAGAGTTCAAATACCATAATTTCATTGGTTATGACCCATGGTTTTTTGATTGCTTCGGTCCGTTTTGACCCGGACGTGATTTCATTGTTTATAACCCCTTGTTCTAATTTTACGAGTTCATGAGCTATAGGCAACGATTTTTGCCCAATTTTGATGGTTTCGTCTGAAGGTAAATGACTCAGCGGAGTCAAATTTCATGATTTTATGAGCTATAACCTACAAAATTTGTCCATTTACGCTCCTTTTCAGCCCAGGGCAGACAATTAAGCGGAGTGCATATTTCGCGATTTTGTGAGCTTAACCCCTGAATTTTCACTCATTTTGTCAACTTCCGCCCGTTTTGACCCGGCGCCAGAAATCTTTGCCGAATTCAAAACTAACAATTTCATGAGTTATTGTCCGTAGGATTTCTGACCATTTTCTTCTGTTTCGGCAGGGTGTCGGAAATGTCAAAACTAACACGTGAATTTTGACCATTTTCTTCTGTTTCGGCAGGGTGTCAGAAATGTCAAAACTAACAATTTCATGAGTTATTGTCCGTAGGATTTCTGACCATTTTAGTATATTCGATGCCCCGTGTCAAAAAATCTTTGCCGAATTCAAACCCGATGTTTTCATGAGCTATAACACGTGATTGCTGAGCCCCGTGTCAAAAAATCTTTGCCGAATTCAAACCCGATGTTTTCATGAGCTATAACACGTGATTGCTGACCCTTCTCGTGCGTTTGGGCCCGAGAATTCAAACCCGATGTTTTCATGAGCTATAACACGTGATTGCTGACCCTTCTCGTGCGTTTGGGCCCGACGACAAATAAATAGGCAGAGTTCAAATATCGCGA